AATTTACAGGGAAATCAAAATTCTGTTAAAATTTCACCCAGTACGATCACCTCTGTAAAATATTTTACATCCACTTTGGCAACTTCCGCCACGCTATTAATTACTACCACTGAAAATTCTTCCACGAAAGTAATTACCACTATTGTGGCTTCATCTAAAGTTGTTGTTTCGTCCTCTAACGTTGTAGTTGTTACAACAAATAGTATTTCACCTAATCGCAATAGTCTTGTTTCAAGTGCTGATCCATTTCTTCTCATTGATGGAATATTTGAAAGCATAATAATGACTTTATTTATCTCTTTCGGCTTAGGCTTGATTTTTATTTGAATAAATAGTTTACGTTTAAAATACTTAACTTTAATTTTATTTAACATATCACAATATTATAGAATGTATTTAGCCATCAATTAATTTTTTACGAAAAAATTTCGAATTTAAATACAATCTCTAATCAAATACATCTGAATAGATCAATAGAAAAAAATTATAAAGAAAATGAAAATTTATTTGGCAATTAAATAAGAAAATTTATACAGTATGTGATGAAACGTGTTGAATTCTTGAATTCGATCTATTGATCAATATTCAATTGATCATTCTTCTTATTCTTCTTAATTACTTGATAAACAGTTTTTGGTAAAGTCCTTTATATTAGGTATGAAATTTAAAAATGAATATTAGCATAATAAAACTATTATTTGTCACATATTTTGCTCAATAATTATATGTTTAAAGAAATTTCTAATTCTGTTTACATTATTAATATTATTTATAACTAATACAAGTAAAACGGTTATGAAATCAAACTAATTTAACTCTGATATTTTCAAGTTCAACAATATTTACACTTACCTTCTACGTACTCTAAACATTCAACACAGGCAAGTACTTTCTTTAATTATAAACATTCTATTCTAGCTCCAGAACTTAACAAGTAATTATATCATATATAGTCCATTTTATAAATAACTGGCTTTCTATAATCTATAATATTAAAATACTTTCTGAACACACTTATCATCTATATTTTTTATAAACTGATAAGCTTATATATAGGAATTGGATTCTTGTATAATATTTATATTATAAAATACAATGAATTATCAATTCAAATACAAGTATCATTATTTAATTTGTCTAGAATCAAGTAATTAAGCATCAAATTCTAAAGATTTATTGTAATAGCTTTTATAAAAACGAGTTTAAGAAATAGATAATATAGTTTCTACTTATTGACAATACATAACTAGAAACCATTGAATTTATTAATAGAATTTCAATTCAATAATTAATAAATAACAAATCTAACAGTTAAATTTATTTAATTTTTATAATATGAATTCATTTATTATCAGACATAAAAAATAAAATTTACTTATATATAAACTTTAAGAATATAAAGATAATTTATTTATAAGCAAAAAAACTTTTCCTAAATCTTTATTCCTTTCTTTATTTGTCTTGTTTTTATCTTTATATATAAATAAAACTGTAAATTATTATATTATTATTTATTAATATGATCTGGTGCAAAAAGATTGGTACATCAATATAAAATTAATAGTTGCTTCTAATAAAAATTAACAATTTTTTTATATTAAATAAAGAATGATCTAAATTAACTTTTTATATTATTTTAATTATTCTATTATACTTCAATTTAAAAATAAATGAAGTATTACTTCACTAAAAAAACTAAAATAAAATTATTTTTTTAAAAAAAAAAGATATTTTAAATATTATTACTATTAATTTACAAGATTAAAACTTTAAATTATACAAGCAAATTGCTCAAGATTTGATAAATATATGTTTTAAATTTCATAAAAATCTAATTGATAGATATAAAAATATTAAGATTCAAAGTTTAATAATTAAATTATTTATTATATAAGTTT